AGGTAATGTTTTTTAAAACTTGCTTCCTGCTCTCTCCCCTGATGTCTACCAAATTATATGAACAATCATCTGTTTGGTAGAAAACTTCTATTTTTCACACTAAAGAGACGAACAAAATTGTTAATGAACGTAAACATTTTTTGTAAGAAAAAATTTCGAAAAAAATTTAGGTGCCCAAAATGGCCGAATTTCATGAACAATAATTGATTATATTGCTTTCAGTCTTAAAATCAATTTACAAAATAGTCTGCTATCATGGATAAAAACCGATTATATTATATTTTTGTTGCCAGCCTCTGTAAGCAACAACAATACTGCTTGTATATCAGGGCAAATCACTGAATGTTTCGACTGTCCCTTAATTCATATCGAATAGTTTTTGGGAAAAGGAAATAATGAAAACCTATACATTTTTGACAATATCAAAGTGTAAAGTTTTGAGTCGCACGAAATGAAAACGACCAATTAGCTAGCCTCAATTCAAACTGGAACGATTTTGTTGAGCGGGATAATTCGCCTCGCATAAATAATTTTCGTTACGCTCTCAGCAAAATGAACAAATTCTTCAAAGCGCGCATAGTTTAGTTCAGATCTTCGCCAGTTTGGCAATTTTCAAACCAAGATAACTTTACAAAAATAATCGGAGGTAAAATATCTTTTTAAGTTTGAACACAGGAAGTCGACATCTTCAATGGGGTTTAATAAGTTTTGTCGCAAAACTATTGTTTCGATCGGCAAAAATTGACTGAATAAAAAAAAACGCTTAGCATTCAAAAGTCGGAACAAAAGACTGCTCGTAAAATATACGAGCTGAAAAAGACTGCTCGTATATCAGGGCAAAGCCCTGAAGGTTCCGACTGCCCCTTAATCCATATCAATTACCTTTTGGTTAAAAAAAAATTGAAAACTATAAATTTTGGACAATATAAAAAGTCAAGTGGGAGAAATTGAATCGTACGAAATTAATATGACCAGTTAGCTAGCCTCAATGCAAATTTGGAACAATTTTGATATGCGGGATAATTCACCACGCATAAAATATTCGCGTTACGCTTTCAGAATTACGGATAAAATTAGCGTGCATAAATAAGTCCAAATTGGCATTTTTCAAATTGGCATTTTTCAAACTCCCAAAACTTGAATGATTGTCACAAACTTTTGAACTTGAAAAAAAAAAGATTTCTTTTTTTATTACATTTAATTTTTTCATGTTATTACTGCTCTATATACCTTAAAAAGCATTCAGAACGTTCAGGGTTTCGCCCTGATACAATCAGTCTTGTTCCAACTTTCGTATTGAAAGTAACGAAATATTTGTGCTCGGGGTTTTATTTTTTATTTAGGCAAATTTAGAGCTTTTAGCTAGCCATTTTTGACGTGATTTTAAAATATCTTTCATAGGGTATTGTTATCTTGAGCTTGAATTTGAAACGATAATTCACTTGTGATCTTTTATCGTATGGGGGCTTAAAGTTATATGGGTTTATAGATCGCCATTTTGGCTGTTTTTGGGACGATTAATCTAAATTTGAAAAGATATTTTGTGTTATTTAAATTTGGAAAGATATTTCACCTGTGATTATTTTTCGTGTAATAGTGGGGTGTAATAGTGTAATAGATAAAAGTAACGGGGGTTTAAAGATTGCCATTTTGGGACAATTAACGAGATATATATTTCGCACCATTAGCGCGTGATTTTTATTGCGCCTTAAATTGAACAAGATTGCTCGTATCAAGGCGAGGCCCTGAATGTTCCGACTGCCTCTTAAGGTCTATAGAGCAGTAATAGCATGGAAAAATTAAATTAAATTAAATAAAATGAAAAAATGTTTTTTTAAAATTTGAAAATGTTTCTATGAAAATCATCCCCCAACACGCTATATAAATATAAAAAATACATTTCGCTCCTTGTAACAAATCAATTATGGCAAAAAAGCTTCTTTCAACCAATTTGGAATGATTTATAAGACGGATTACATCTCCGCTAACGCGTTATTAGCGCGACTTATATCGCGCGTTAATTGTCCAACATTGGTCAAAATGGCAATCTTTAAACACTCATAACTTTACGAAAAATGATCACAGATGAAATATCTTTTCAAATTTAAGGCCAGGACAACAATACCTTTTGAATAATAAAAAAAATTCCGTCAAAAATGGCTAGTTAAAAAGTCGAAATTTGTCTGAAGAAAAAAAACCCAGCCCGAGCACAAATATTCCATTACTTTCGTATCAAAAATCGGAACAATAATGGATTATAATGTTACATTTTTTCCAACAAAATCTCTTGAACTGTTTATAAAACTGAGTTAAGACAACAATTTTCCGGTTACGTAAGAAAAAAGTACACATGTCATGAGGCAGACACGACATAAAATAGACAAAAACTTTTTGAGCCAATCTGAATCGAGATAACAAAACAAACGTACGAACTAAAGTATTTTTTCATTATTCTCGCGTTCGTTTGTTCTACCTGTCTCGATTCTGACTGGTTAAAATTTTTTTTATCTATTTGTGACGAGTAAAAGTCACAGGTTGTCTACTTTTTGAGCATTCCAGTTTTCAATTATATTCAATTTTGTTCCTTGAAACGGAAATCAAGTCGACGGGATCAAGCCAAAAAATTATTTAAGAACTCACAAAAAGTCAAGTTTGATGTATTTTTATGCTATTTTATCAGGCTAAAAAAGTAGATTGAATTAATGAACCAAAAATTATTTAGACCAGCTTTAAGTGATTAACAAACCATTTTAAAAGTAAACTCTCCTTATTGTCACAAAATTCTTGTTTAACAACTTTTTCAAGCAAAAGGAAAGTTTAGAATTCCGCCTGAAGTTTTTTCGGCTTCGAGTCCCGTAGGCTTGCTGTCCTAGACCTTCATAAAATTCCGGTGCGGGTATGATACATTTTGTGCATTTTTTAAAACAGCTCATTTCGTTTTAAGGGTGTGTACCCATGGATATGCATTTTCAGTTTGCCAAAAAAATATATCTCAGTTAAGTTACTAGGACCAAGTTAACATCCTTCTAGGGGAAAGTTATCAACTTGATTTTAAGTTCGAAATTCGTCAAAGTTCTGCGACCGCTCGTGTTACCTGTCTATCGGAGTCCATCCCTGGTCAGGGAGAAAACCATATCAAGACTTTGCAGAGATTGCCAGAGATTTCAAGGAGTTCTACATGGGAACCAGGCCTAGGATTCCACATTTTTTTGGTCAATTTTCCAAAATTTGAAAAGTTTTCAAAGCTGCCTGAAAACAAAGACAAGCAAGAATATTCTCATACACGAAAACCCTCAAGTTACTTGGCTAGAATCTCGCAAACAAGCTGCATTTGTAGATTGACAATTGAAAATAAAACTTCTCAGTACAGGTTTATCATAATTACCTTTTATCTAAAAAAATATGTGTAAAAAATGTGAGATAGGCTTATCTTACTATTTCAAAACAATAACAAGGATAACCGGTTACTGTGCAAGTAGCATAGAAAGTTCCGACCAGTCTTAAAAAGTTACGACAAAATTATTTTTCTAATTAGTGTCGTTTTTTCGGCTTAGTTTGATAAAAGAACCTGAGCGAAGAAGTAGAGTTCAAACATTTTTGTCTATCATGCAAAATATCCAAATTGAAAAACCATTTTTGAAGACAAATAAAAAAAAACAAAAAAAAACAAAAAAATTAAAATAAATTTTTTTTAACACTTTTTCAAAATTGTTTTCCCAAATTTTTGAAGGTTTTGATTCCTAAGATGAAGCTATAAACTCCACAAACTAACTTCATTCAAATAAAAACAAATTTTTAAGGCTCAAATTAAGCATAAATAAGCTAATGTAAGCCTGCTCACTCGCTCAAAATTAGACAAAAAATCAAAAATTTCAAACCAGTTTTTCTCGACAATAGGACAACTTTTTTGAAATTTTTGATGTCGTTCAAATAATGACTCAAAGGGCTTTAATATGATATATCATTCGCCCAGTCCCATAATTATTTGTGGTAGCTCATTTTGCGAGGAAAACAAAAAAGAATGCTCGCTGGCTTTATTCGCTCAAATAAAGACAAAAAATCAAAAATTTTAAACCGTTTCTTCTCGACAATTGATTTTTTTAATGTGGTTCGAATAACGACTGAAGGGGCTTTAATATGATATATAATTAACCCTGACCGATGCTTATTTGTGGTAGCTGATTTTGCGTGGAAAACAAAGAAGAAAAAAACTAAAACACACCCAATGCACCCAATGTATGTGGACTCCATAATGTGACAATAAGAGCTGCGGCGAAGAAACTTCCAAAATTATTTGTAGAAAGTTGTTGATTTCCTAGAACTGCTGGAAGGGTACCTAGCAGGTGTCCAAGGCCTGGTGTTCAAAAGTGTTCAGCACTGCCCTGGACTTTTGAAGTTTCTCTTCTTATCTTGTTTTTTTTTCGAAACAGTAAGGTAAGTAACATTCAATCCAAATGACTCTCAGTGATTTCATTGGAAACTAAATTTTGAAAAGAATTGAAATGTGTATGTAACGAGAAACAGAAATGACCCGGAGCGAACACAGCTTGCGGCTTAAATAGTGAACATGAGCTTGAACCAAGTTCTGATTGACATGTTAACAGTGACCAGGTCCAGTCAGGCCTGCATTTTTTCGTTTATTTTGAGCAAACTTAGAATGATGATTTTTTTGGAAAGCTGAAAATGCGGCTCCGTGACACACCACCGTTATTTTAAGTTCATTGAGTTTCTGATATCTCTGATTTCTAGCATATTGAATTCCGCAAAGCCTTTTCTTCCAGGAAGTATTGATCGCTTGACTGAACAAAGTTATGATATTACTCTAGCTATATTGGTAGGGTTTTCGTTTTCAGAGATACCTTATAATTGATTTCTAATTACTGTGTCGGTCATTTCTGAGCGTTATCAAAGACCGTAACTTCTTGTTTTGTACGTTCATTTTTCACACATTGAAGCATAGCGTGACTAATCAACAGTGACCATATATCCGACCGAACGAAGTTAATTCTGCAGCACCGTTGTTGTACAGAACTAACTACAATTTTGCTTTGCACAAATATACCACCAAATTTTTAAAGCTATTTTTTAACATAATTATATTCGTTCACGCGTACCACAAGCGACCATTTACACCTCTGTTTTAGCGATACAAAGTTCTGGGCACTAAAAATAGCTACCACAAAATTAGGTTTATTCGTGTATATTCGTTGTATAGTTCTGATCTTGGTACCTCCTCAAAGGATCTTTAAGAACCAAAGAAAGGTTTTCAGTTTGCTAGAAGCAAATAAATCATTGTGCGTTTCTGACATCGCAAGCAAAAACCTCACTTTGGAAATCGTGCGCCTCGTAATTTCACCCAGAGCCAAAAATACATTCTTGTGGCGATTTGTCCTACATTTGATTTCAATGGTGTGGAATTTCTGACTCGAACCAAAACTAGTTTATTTGGCCGTTTGCGATAAGCAAAGTTTCTCTTACCAAACTTGCATTTTAATTGTACATCAACTAAACTTATTCGTAAACTTTCTTACGGCTAAACTATATAGAGACTAATATCTGAAACTACATATCGATTTATCACATTCGGCGGGCTTATATATCTCAACAAAATTCCTATAGCAGAGCTCATTATAACATCATACCATCCATTATTGTTTGACAGATTGTTTTCTTTTTCGTTCAGTTGTTCTTTTTCGTATTACTGTTAGTTTTTTCATCTGAGTTTGTATCTGAACATTATATCTGAAGTATGGACAAGGAGACCATAAGGAGTGTGATCCATAGACTGGAGGAGGAGGCAGATGCTGCGAAGAAACAAGCCCGGACAGCGGAGGCCAAGAGAGACAGGGAGAGCGAGAGACTCAAATCAGCCGAGGAGCAGGTGCTCAAGTTCAGAAAGGCAAGTCATTTACATGCGTCTGCACAATTTTGATGTACTTTATGTATATTAATCAACGATAAGCTGTGCTGATATATTTGCTGTCGATAGGTTCCTAAGTTTTCGAGCATTTGGCTTGACGCTGGATGGCAGTAATCATTGCAAGGTTACCATCCACCAAAAAACGGACCACAAGCTTTTCACGCTTTCGTTAACTTTTCAAAAAAGCTAGAACTAATCCAGTGCTTCAAATTTTTAATCAACATTTTTGTGAAGCAAAACAACCAAAAGGTCATGAAAATGTCATAAATAAACGGAAAGAAAACCACAGCAGTTTGGAGACTTTATGATAATATGGAACGTATGGGTATCCTTTTATGGGTCTTCTGAAGCCGATGGCATAAATAGTGAAAGTGTTTCTTATATTCTAGAGAATCTTCAGTCACTTTTGCACAATTAAGTCGTTTAGGCGCTCAACAGGCCATCAATCAAAAAGACTACAGAAAAAGGTGACAAGATTACTGCACATTTTAACATTTTTTTCTAACTCTTTGACCTTGTGTTTCTGTAGCCGATGGAGAAGAAGTTGAAGGAACTGCAGGAGGCGGAGCAGGAGAAGTCTCTCTTAGTATCCAAGGTGGACACTCTGGCCAATGCAGTGGAGAGACTGCAGGTGGAGTTCGAGAGTGGATGCAAGAGACTGAATGAGATAGATGACCATCTGGTGTCCCTCCAGGAGAGGGAGGAGAAGCTAAAGGAGACTCAGAAGAAGAACGACGAGAACTTGGCTGAAAAGGAGAGAAAGTAGGTTTTTGATAACTTGCACTATTCTTTAATTATCTGAACTTATTAATGAAAATATGGGTTCAAAAATTATAAATTATAGTTTCGAAGTCTAAGTGTCTTTACTAAATCACAGCGGAAAACGATCATTTACAAAAAAAGAAAAGTTGCAACCTTTTTCAAAATAATTGTTATTTGTATGTGGAATAGTCTTTCAAGAGAAACTGAGCTTTTGTTTTAAAATAGACCCAGAGATCATGACTGGCCAATATAGCAGAATCCATTTTCTTTTTTCGCAAACTTGGCGAATCCGTCGAAAGAGTTTGGAAACCGTTTGTCTAAGATTTACCTGCATTCAAGCTTTCCTTAAAATAGCAAGTTTATCGCCTATTAAAATAATGAATCAAGAACGCAAATTCTGTTCTCAAGTTCACAAGTTTACGCTTTAGATCCCTGTGTTGCTTATGAATCCTGAGTTTTTCCGGAGCCTCAGATATTTTTGTTTTTTGAAGTTATTTTTTCCCTGGAGGAGTGTAGCATTTTTGCCTTCATGTATATTGAGCGCATTTTAGTCTGCGAAAACTGGAAGCTGACTTGGCTGCCATCAATCTGATTGCTTCTCGCAATGAGTCCAAACTGATTGAGAAACAGAAGGACATCGAGAGCCTCGAGAAAGTCCTCAAGGTCAACAGACTCCGGTTAGTAGCTTTACAGTGCCATCAATATGTAAGGTATCAGACAGTAGATTTCGCTACAAAAAGGAGGGGGATTAATAAGTAGATCAATCAACAAGTCGTATTTTTGACCAATCAGAATGCAGCAAAAGTAGACTTATCAATACAAAACTAATTGATTGCTAATTTACTGAATTTATTCATAAAGGTGCAGATTCTTAAGTAAACACAACAACAGAAGGGGAAGGGGAGGAGAGATTGTTAAACTGGTCCAAAAAAGATAAAAGAAAAGAAGGCCTGTTGTAAAATCCGCATATTTTTTCTGTGCTACAATCCACTGCTACAAATACTGATACCAGATCGACCTTTCTCTTGCTTAGTAATGACTCATGGACAGAAACAGATCAAGGGATTTTGCTATGGAATAAAGGCTGAAAGACAGTAGAAAAAACCGAATATTTTTCAAGTCGACCAATCAAATAAATTTCATTCAACACAGTTTTCGAAATTCCAAAAAGCGTTCAAAAATTTTTGAGCCAATTTAGAAAAAATGTAAATTAAACCATTTTTTTTTTGAGTTTTTAAGAAGGTTACGATCAGAAATTGCTTTTTCCAGTGAACACAACACTATGACAAAAAAACTTTAAAAAAATGCAGCAACAGTTTCGTTTTAGGGTTTCATTTTAGCTTTTGGTAAAGATCCGTAGAGGAATTGCTAATATCTTAAGTATAATCTTCTGGAGTAAAAATAATAATGACTCTAAACATATTGAAAGAGGGATTGAGTTATAGACTTAACCACTTGCGTGTTTGCAGAAGTAGAGCAATGGCGGATGAGAACGAAGAGAAAACAGACCAGCTGAAGTCCCTGGAGAAAGAGGTAGCCGAAGAGACGGAAGAGGTGAAACATTTAGAAGAAGACATCAGAAGTCTGAAGGCAGAGGTAGTGGATGCCCAGGACGAACAGGCCATGATAGAGGAGAACCACTCCACACTCATTAGAGCCAAAGATGAGCTAAGATCCGACACTTTCTTCAACAAGTACTACTAGGCCAGCAAAATGAGATAAAGACACTTCATATGTAAATAACGCAGGGTCTCCGTACGGTTATACTACCCAAAGTAAAAAGTTTCACCAATAAATGTAAATGTAATTGAACTCTTCAAAGTACCTAAGCGACTAATTTAACGAACCAGTTATGAGCAAGCAGACGCAAAGTCATGTTTAGGGCAGTATAACCGAGGCGACCTATAGTAAGATAGCTCTTTTTCAACGCTGATAGTTCATTTTTTTCAATTTGAAAAAAAATGTATATTTCAAAAGCTACATTTGTATTAGAGATCTGGTTTAAAAAGAGCTAACATTAATGAACAAGTCCCAACGCAAGAGTCATCAAAATGAAAACTGATACATTTCCACTTTTCAAACAACCCACAACCACAAAAAAATTATATCACTTGCTCACATGTTTCGTATAGCCGGCTGCCCAGGTATCCCATGTCGACCGAAATGAGCATTTTTCCATAAATGGCGCGGCGTATGATTACACAAATTTTATTCACACAGGAACTGAAATTAGATAACTATGGTATTTTTTGTAACGGCTGGTGATGGAAGCTTTTTTACAAACACCTTAATTGAGGGCTTATCTGGAGTCGGGTGGAGACGAAGTGCTTTCCGGTAAAAATGTAATATATGCAATTCATTCATTTTTGATCGGTTCTTTAGTCAGGGTGTTGGCACTAACGCAATCTCGAGTGGCTTTTCCGACGGGTAACAACGGCATGTATGGGTCGCAGTCTGTTGTTTAGTGGCGCATTGGTCCTTCATTAATAGCATCGTTCCGCACTTCTTACACGACGGGCGTGTGACAGAAACGTCCCGAAAGTAAGACCTTAAATTTCAGCATGATATCTCGAACTCTCTAATTGTTCCAACCTGGGCGAACTTCCACCGTAGTCTAGTTCCCCCTCATGAATGCTACGAAGTAAATGAACAATATTATGTTAAAAGAGTACTATTTTTTAATCACGACGTGAGGAGAATCACTGAGAGAATAGGAACAACTGTTAATTCTAGACTTACCTAAGTACACTGCAGACGTAGGCCCGTTCCCTTGACTGAGCTTGAACCTTATACAGTAACTAAATGGATTCCGACCCAGAATGACCACCCGTATGCCCCACGATGCAACTCCGCTCAGCTTCTTGACCCTGCTCGAGGCTATACTCGTACATGTGGGCTGGCTCACGTGAAAACGGAATCGAGGATCCCACGTTTGACGACACTCTGGCAGGGATTAAACAGCGGGTAGAAAAGCGACCGATATTGGGCAAGTTGCATCCGTTGCTGTTCCGCGTGCAACTCTTGAAGCCCCATAGACGAATCAACAGTCCCAATGGTCGATCTCCGTCCAGTCCTCCGTGATAACAGGGTTGTTTCCAATCGTCAGCCCCAATCTTTTCCAAATAGGGACTAGTGTCTCCGGTGATAGGTGAATCATCGACCTGTCATTAACAATCGTCTTCCGGTTTTCGATTCAGCCCTCGCAGTCAATGCAAAGGGTCCGAAAATGCTGACGCAGGTGTTCTACGTGGTACCTGGTGCAAAGTTCCTGCTCCAGTCGGTGATAGCTCTCTCGATTACTCAAAGTGAACTCTTGCACCTCTTTTAGGGTCGAATTAGCGTTTCAGTCGTGTAAAAGGATCTTCCCTTCTCGGTGTGATTCACGAAGTCTAAACGTGAACTTGAAAACTTTCCGGCTGTAAGCTTCTGCGTGCGCTTTATTTTAATAAGGTGGAAGGACCTCTCAACCTTGTGGGTTACTATTATGATAATCAGAGATTTCGGAATAAGCTTTATAGTCCATTGAAACATTTATAGTTTAATTACAGTAAGGAAGCAAAAGAGCGGCGAAAGAGCTTGCATCGACCGAGCAGTGACGGGCTTTTTGAGAGCCCCATACACAGATCAGTAGTCCCGGTAAGAAATTGGTGGATGCAATCTAGCAAGCGATTGGACCCGGGGCGAACGCAATCTAACGCCACCGTCTCGTATCGAAGGGGGTCGATCTGGGCGCTTTCATCCGTGGTAACAGGTTTGTTTCCTATCCTCATCCCCAACATTTCACAAATGCGGACTCGTGTCTCCGGTCGTAGGTGATTTATCGGCCTGTCGTTAACAATCCTCTTGTGGTTTTCGATACAGCCCTCGCAGTCGATGCAACGGAATAGACAGTTCTGACGCATGTGCTGTACGTGGTACTTGGTGCGGATTTTCTCTCCAGTCGGTGATAGCCTCCTTAATGGCTCAACATGACCTCCTGCACCTCTCTCATTGTTGAATTAACTTTCCTGTTAAGGAAAACGACCTTTCCGTCTCGGTATAATTCTCAACGTCTAAACGAGAACTTTGAAATTTTATAGCGGAAAACTTCCTGCAGCGTTTCACTTAAATTAGAGGGAGGGAATTTCCCTCAACCTCGTGGGTTACCATTGTAATATTTAAAGATTTTGGTATAAGTTTTATAGTTCATTTCAATGAGTCTAACTAAAGGGTGCGCGAATGTGGAAGCTAATGAGTAGAAGGTAGCCGGATCTTGACTAATCAATAGGATAACTAGAAAGGCAAGCAGAAGACCAAACTCGACAATAAATCATATCTTCAAAGTCTTAATCCCTCTACTGGTTGCATCTGAAGTTATTTGCACCAGGGAATAACACCCCTTAAACCGGAAATAGGCAATTATGCAAAAATAAAGAGCAAGGGTATCGTGATGTTTTTGTAGTAAATTTACATTGAAAAAACACACCTCGCGAATAAAACCCTTGCGCGAATCTTTCCGATGTTAAAAGTTTTGGGATATGAACGAAACCTGGTAGGTCATTGACTCTGCGGTGACCTTAGAATGAATTTTAGGCGTTAGGTTAAAAATGCATGATTGCGAGATTAACACAGAAAGTGGCGCATTTGCCTGTTCCATTCCTTGGAAATTGGAGTCGGTCACCTGACCTGAAATAAAGATTGAGCCTAACTATTAGGAACTGAAGCGGAAGCTGGAAAAGATATAACTTCTAAATCGTAACAATGAAGCAGTGGAACTAAATTAAAGTCGATTAGGCAAACATTGGGTTCAACTTAGCATGGCGAATGACCTTTTAATAAAAAATCAATCAGGTTTAAACAAAATAGTATCAGAGAGAACTGGCAGCAATGGGAACACAGCATGCGAAGTAGGTCTTCCAAAATTAACCAATAGACGGGGTATTCATTTAGCTCCCTTGAGGTACCTTTCTCGCCCAGTTTGACCCCCAAAAATTTTATTTATACTCTATTCAAACGCCGACCTTCTAGCTAGCAGGGGAACGTTAGCTAAATTGTCGGGAATTGAATAGAGTAACGATCGGATTTTTGGGTGCTTGGAGTCAATTAGCTTCCCATAAAAAAGGTCTTCTCCAACCCGGGCGGTTCGAGCAATAGAATGATAATCAAATAAAAGCCTTGGGAGATGTATTAATTAAACAAAACTTGGTTTGGAGGTGAATTGGACTTGATATTTTATATAACGTAGTTAGCGATATCTATAAGGAATTTGAAATTTAATACTGGTGTTGTCAGAGGAAGTATTCAGAAAACTCCTAAAATAGGTACCGAAGATAGTTGTTAATAGTCGTATAAGTTTCATAATTCATCTTTGAAAGCTGTCAGTTAGCGCGTACGTAGTAGAAGTAATGTTAAGGTGTTTCGGTCATTTTGTTTAGACAATAAAATATTAAACAGAGCAAACCCGAGAAAATAGTCCTTTTAGGGCAAAATAGAAAAGGATAGAAATGCAGAATTCTCCCAAAGAGGGAACGGCCGAGGGTAAAATTATGAAGTTTACAGAACAAACATAGGGTTGACTTCACGCGGACTTTGAAAAAATGAGAACCCTCTGAACCATGGCGGCAAAAATAATTATCAGAGGCTGGATATCAACTTATTGAAGTTTGAGAAAAAAACCTACATGACGGAAAAAAGCAAACTACGCAAATTAATGGGCTAGATCATAACGATTTGATTATGAAAATGGATACTGAAGTCCAGCCCCAGAAAATCAATCCAGGTTACCGAAACACCTATGGCGCCTCCTTCCGGTCTTAAAAACCATTTCCCGAGAAAAGCGATAATGGGCCTTTAAAATGGGATAACTTGCAAATCGGTTTTGCATGGGACTTAGTAAGTAGGATCCCTATCGGTCCTCGATTGTGTTAGAGGAATAGCTACTGTAATAGTGCTGTAGTTACGGAGTGGTGAATTTTGTTAAAGTGGTTCTGGGAAACATTGGGTTCAAATTGATTTGGTGAATGTAGTAATAATAGATTTAGAACTATAGACCTTAGAAAAAAAACGTCGCAGAAGGATTAGCTTAAATTTGTGCAGAAAATGAGAACTATAGAATCAACGTGAAATAAAGAAACAAGAGGTATTAGTGCGCTGACCCAGTTTGAGCTAAAAATAGAAAAGATTTGATGAGGGAGTTTTTCGACTACTATGAAATAGTTTTGCCCCAAATGAGACTTGTTCTTGAGGTGGGAACTGCCTTTTCTCTAACTGAAACCAAAACCGAAATCATATACACGTACAAAAGTGGGGTAAGTGACATTTCCAAAAATCAGAGAACAATTACGTAGAGAGGGAGAGAGACAGAGAGAGAGGGGAGGGAGAGAGATAGACGAGAGAGAGAGAGAGAGGAGAGAGAGAGAGGAGCGAGAGAGAGCAGGGAGAGAGAGAGTGAGAGAAGGAGACCGAACAATTCATGTAATCTGACTACCCGGGTTGACCAAAACTTCTTATCATACAATTTCCATATATGAAAAACTTCTTGTCATACAATTTCATACAATTCCATACGTACAGAAAATTGTATGAAAACTCTATGATAAACATTTTTCCATAAATGAAAATTGTATGATAGGTGTTTTCCCATAAACCAAAAATTTTGATTTTTTCTTTCTAAATTTAGTTTCTGAAAAATTTTCGGTTGTAGTTGCAACCGATCACAAGTGACAAAGACCTTGGTTTCTCAAAACACCAAAGGTTGGACGGTCTGGAATTTACAATGCATAGAAAACGACCTGAATTTGGATGTCTTTCACAATTGATATAAAAAAAGTAACAAACTTTTTTTTTTGGCAAAATTTTTTAATGATGATTACATTAAATGTTTGAATTTTCAAATTATCAGACATTGATCAAGGCCTACATTAACACCCCATACAAAAGAAAGAGGAATTTTCAGCGTTTTTGAAAAAAAAAATTAAGTGAAAAGAAAATAAAAGCC